GGGGGGGGGTGCTGTATGAGCAGCGGCGGGTCAGTCAGGGGAGGGGGGATTTTCCGAGAAGCTGCGGGGGAGGGGGCGGCGCTGCTGCCTTGCCTAGGGCAGCAGCAAAGCTGGGCTTGCTGCTGCATACCAGGATTGTGAAGGTTTTTCTCCACAAATTTGAAGGCATTTGGACAAATGACCTCCCTCTTTCAACCTCAACATTGAGTGACAGTCACGGCTCTCTGCAGGGAGATGATCGTGAAGTGAACAAGCGACGGTATGTATTCGCTCACTTCCCAATCTATTGAGCCGACGTGTGACAGTTTGATTGTCACACGTCGGCTCGAACTATGAGGTTGAGTGAAAATCACTCACCTCATAGTTCTCCTTTAACATCAATGCATTTCGTCCACCTACGTGTGGACTTTCTCAAGGATGGTTAAGTCCATTTATACTTGTGGTGCACATAGATCTGCCCCTTCCTTGCATGAACTCAGCCAACAGGCAACTTAACCCCCTTACAATCCCAGATCACTATCATTATACCTGCTATTTCGATATGACCGGGAGAAACGCAAAGATCAATGTAGACTAACCTCACACATCTACTGAATCCTACATGGGCTAATTGTCACTAAGCCCCTTAGCCACTATAGCTATCCCAAAATGCATATCCTAAAATAACCACACTGTGGGGATGCATGCACAATGCATGACATGCAGTAAGAAATATATGACCACAGGCACTCAGAATGAAGAGAGCCATATTGAAAGATCTTTGGTGGTATGTACCATGCATGTGTCCCTGCAGCAACAACGTACAACATGAAAAACAAAATGTTTATTTACTACCATAGGCATTCAGAAGTGAAAAGGGCAATATTTAAAAGTCTACGGTCGTATTAAAAGGGGACAAAGTTTATTTCTTAGGCACAGCACGGAGTTCTAAAAAATACTTGAAAATAGATAGATTCGGCAATTATGGTAATCGGTGTGCTGCAGAATATGAACCTAAGGACATGAAATGCGTAGTGTTTTATATTTATTTTATGATACTGATAAAGCATAGCCAAAACTTTTTTTTTTTTTTTAAGATAGGGAGGGGTTAAAAAAAAAACAACTCTGCCAAGTTTTTTGTTTTTTTTTGCGGTCTGTGGGGAAATTTCCTTTCACATCCTGTTGCAACAGGGATGTAGAGGGAACAGGTGTCCTTATTGGAAGATTTCCCCATACCTGTTGTTCTTGGGACAACTCTAGCAATTTGATTTTAGGCTTTTTGGCATTTGCAATGGTCTCCAGTACAAATAGAGAAAACAAATCTCTCCATCCCATGAAAAAAACTGTTCCTTCTGCGCTCATTGTGTGACCCAAAGATCATATGGGCTGGCTTCGTGGAGCACGATAGGTTGTATCAAGATTTTAGAATTTGTATAAGGTCTATAGATCGCAATCCAATTGTAACCAATCACTGTGGGATGTGGGTGCATGTATGTATGTATGTGTAATATATAGTGCAAAAAACCTTTACTAATCAGGGATATTTTGAGCAAAGTGTCTGATATTTTTCAAATTTTCATAATTTTAGAGTAACAGACAATTAGGACAGCAGCTGACTGGTTTGCGTAAAAGAAGATTGGGTAAGTAGCAAACAATGTTGTATTTCGTAAATGTAATATACTGAGGAAAATTTATCAAAACTGGAGCAGACAAAATCTGAGGTGAGGCTGGAAAACCTTTTTTCAGAGCGAATGAAAATGTATGGATTAGTGGTGGTTTTGTACGAAAAAAATCGAAGCAAGAACACTGCACATGCGCAAATGAAAATGTGTTCTGTCGCTCGACCAAATTCAGAGAGTTGGTATTGCTAATGAATAATTATAGAAATCAACATTGGTCTGTGCTTGATGGGCTATTTGAGCTAGAATCAAACAAGGGTTCTTGGCAGCAACGAAAATTTCCTTTCGAAAATCTAAAGGTGTTTGGCCAGCTAAAGACTTCAGTAGACCTCCAATTAAGGACTTCTTTCCTTTTTTTTCCATTGGGTTTTAGTCCCACCTGCAGAAGTAGGTTGCTAGGTACAAACAAAAGGACAGCCCAGGGGCAGCCCCTGCTGATGGCTGAATCCCCTGTCTGCTAGAACCAACTCAGTAACAAAGCAGTAAAAGTAGAAGCTCTCCAACAAAGTCAACAGCCCAGGCAACCAGAGGTGTGGGTGTTGTGGCTTTGTTACGATATCTGGAAATCCGTGCCGGATTTTCTCTTTGCTCCCTGGTGCTGGGCTGTCAGTCTCTGATGTTTCACAAGGCTGCAGCCAATCTGCACTCCTCCTCCCCTATTTAGCACTACCTCACTTGTTGCTCTTGGTTTGAGCAACAAGTCTCATTCCTTGTGCCGGACCCCTTGTTTCTCTAGTGATCCCTGTGATCGTCATTCCCTGGGCTTATCTTGGATCCCTGTGCATCTCGCTTCCCTTTACCAGCTGGTTCCCCTTTTTGGCTTAATTTCCTGCTTCGTTCTCAGTGTTCCTGCTGTAGTCTAATTCCAGTGTGTACCTTTGAATATCCGTGACCGTGACAATCTTTCAGTGAACATAGAGTAAAATATTTTATAATGAGTACACAAAAATCCTTTTTCTTTCATCTGTTAATTGAAGGACAGCATAGATCTGTAAATTTTGAAGAAAACAGTGTCTATAGAGGAGTGAGCCTGAAAAATAGAGAAGAGTATATAAGGAGCCCCCCTTTAACAAGGACATTTGAAGGCCTGCAACACCTTGCAGCTAAAACAAGCATGCTGAAACAAAACAATACCAACATTGTAAAACCTTGTGAAGTTATAGACAGAAGACCAAGTTTCTGCTTTAAAAACCTAAAAGACTAACACCTGATGGTGAAAGGCCAAGGACATACTCACCCCTCTCGTGGAGTAAGCCATAACTGGGAAAGGAGGTTCCTGATGCTGAATGGCATACGCCTGCACTATCATCTATTGAATCCACTAGGAAATGGTAGCAGAAGAAGCCTCATGACCCTTCCCCAGACAAGGGTCATCCATGACAACATACGCAGAATCTGTCTTCCTAAAGCATGCCATTCAGACAGACTCTGACCACATCAGCAACAGAAAGACAACATCCTCATTTAGGTGAAAAGTAGATGATCACTTTCAACAAAAAAAGAAAGTCTTGGGTGCAGGATCACCTTATCATTGTGCAAGACAAAAGGAGCTGATAAGGCCACTGGTTCCAAAATTCTCTGAGCTGAAGCAGTTCAGATCCTCTGGAGTCAAGGGGGTTTAACTGGAAAAGGGACATGCATCATCTATTGGACAAAGGTGCAGATGATGGAAAAGGAGGTCAAGCAACATTAAAGCAGGATAGCCTGCCCCTTGTTAGTACACATAGCTAGATGTTGATCAACTACCTGATTAAGGAAAGTCGTAATCCTGGCTACCAAAAAAGCCCATGTTGCATCCCTAAGGACTCGCCAACCAAAGTACGCCTTCTTTTGTGGTAATCTTAAGAGAAGTAGTTTACGAGCCTTGAGCATCATAGGGATCACTAAGGCTAATAGCCCCCCTGTCCTTAACACTTGGTCTTCAACAGCTAAGCCAGTAAAGCAGGATGGAAGATTGTTTCTTGTGACAGACATTCTTGATCGAGTGGCAGATGCCAAGAAACATCTCCAACTAGGCAGGTCATGTCCTCTTCCCAAGTTCTTCAAGGTCGGTTCAGGGTCGCAAGCATCACTAGAATCCCTTCCATTTCGAGCCTGCAAAGCAGCCTAGGAAGGGGTTACATAGGAGGAAAGGCATATATAAAAGTGTAGCAACTCCACAGCACCACCAGTGCATCTATCGTATCTGTTCAAGGGTCTCTTGCCCTTGCCATGAACCTTCCCACTTTATGGTTAAGCTGGGATAACAGTAGGACCACATCTGGTGTCCCCCCACCAGAGAGAAATTTGTTGAAAAATCTCTTGGTAAAGTGACTATTTTCCCTGGACCGGGCTTTGTTGACTTGTATAATCTACCTGTTGTCTACTCCTGGAATGTTAACCATAAAGGGCAACACTAAGGGCTGGAATGTGACTCCTTGACCAATGTATAATGCAAGACATCTCCAGTGCTCCTCCTTGATGGTTAACGTATGCCATGGCCATTATATTGTCTGACTAAACACTTATGGGATGTCCCTTGAGGCTGGTCCAGTGCAGGAGAGGAAGCCAAATCACTTCAAGTTCTAACACATTGATGGAGAGGAGGCACTCCTCTCTGGTCCAGAGACCTTGAACTGATACCTGTCCTAACACACACACTCAGCTTCGCAGGCTGGCATGTTACAGCAAAGCAGAAAAAACAATTTCCTGACGAGGTATCAGAGTTTGGGGCAAGCCTCCATGAGGAGCAAGACTTCTTCACAAGCTTGGCAGGTTTGGACTGCCAGGGGCGCTTAGTGCCTGAGAAGAGATCTTGTCAAAGTTACCTTGTGCCTAAAAAAAAAAAAAAAAAAGACACTTGTGTGATAAAATGAAAGACCCCTTTGTAACACGGTTCTTTTGACTTTTTTTTTGGGTACAAACTTGGTAAGGTTCTTGATGATCTCATTAACCTTTGCACCAAACAAACAGCCACATAACACATTCTTAAGGCCTTGTGCTAACTGCTCTATCAGTTCAACATAGACAGGGTACTCTGTTGGCCAAACCCTAACATAGGAGTTTTACAGATTATATCAGTGTGGAATGTGCAAAATTTAAGCAGATACCAGTACCAGTCTAAGTAGCGATCCACTGACGGTATACATGGATGTCACCATGGCCTTGGCCTTCCTATCATTCATATCCTTAATTGAAGGTGATTCTTCCACCAGACGGATCATGGCCTTGTGGAAGCGGAACTATTCCCAGCAAATTTAGCTGTTACTCTACATTCAGCGCATGCTCCTGGTGATAAATGTCACAGTTCCTAGTGTGCTTATGTTAGCTCTTGAGTTAACTTTCAAGCCCTCAAATGGCTGGGGTCATAGCTGATCACACGTGCAGCACTATGACAACTGTAGATTTAAACAGAGACTAAGATGGCTCCGTCCTTGGCTGTAAAGTATGAGGGTTTAGTTCTTCTGCTGGTGGGGAAGACTATTTTTAACAAATCCTTTCATGAATAGATAATTGACCAAAAAATGCTTTGGCAAAATGAAGGCTGTGCTACATATAGTGCTCTTTATTCACCCCCAGTGAATGGATAATGCAGGATCTGCACTCACCAGAAATAAATGATCCCTTTGCAGGATGGTCATATATAGTTTAGTGTGGTGTTGGCTTCCTGGCTTCATCTCAGTATCCCCTCACTTCAATTAGCAGTATCAGTAACGATCCAGGATATCCCAATCAGTCTCCCCAGTGTACTCAAAAAGGAAACAAATAGAGCCTCATCGCATACTGTGTAAAAAAAACGGAAGGAAATATGGATAAAACTACCCGCATGGCCAATAAAAAGAATCGCAAGCGCAGTCCGTCCATTCAGAGTCTCCCTCCACACTGCTCACGGGCATGATGACATCACCATGTGCACCGCCTATCGACGTGTTTCGTCACCACCTCTGGATGGCGTACATGCGGATGCCGACAAGTCCCTGCATTTTATAGCAACACTAAAGCGTAATCTGTTTTTCAACCATTAGGTGTCCTCATAGTACATAAATGATATCTTCTCAAAATACATAACAAGTACATACTGTATGTTCAAGTGCCCCCGATTTGTTTGTTAGACTTCTGGCATTCTTGTACATACATTTGAGTGTGGTGCTATTGTTATGCGTTTTATTTTGGCTCATTCCTGAAGTGCAACTAATTCCTGTATTTGACCTTGGCACTGCTTTGGAGGTCCTTCTCTTTATCTTGGCACCTAAATCCTTGAAAACTTTTTTTTTTAGGACACTCCTACAGTGCCAACAATTTTGCATAGTGCCGCACAGTGTCTAGCAATCCTCACACTGCCCTAATAGCCTTCTCAGTGACCAACTGTCCACATAGTGTCAAGTAATACTCACGGAGCCCCTGCAGCACTCACCGATTCCCAGCGGTACTCACAGTGCCCAGCAATACTTGGTGTATAGTAATACTTAGAGGGGAATTTATCAAAATTGGAGCAGACAAAATCTGGAGCAGTTGCCTATGGCAACCAATCAGCTTCTTTCTTCAGTTTTGTTCAGTTAAGATTTGAAAATGAAAGAGAAAAGCTGATTGGTTGCCGTGCGCAGCTGCTCCAGATTTTGTCTGCTCCAGTTTTGATACATTCCCCTCTTAGTGTTTAGTAGTACTCCCAGTGCCCAGCAGTACTTGCAGTGCCCAGTAATGCTCGTAGTGTACAGTAATACCCAGAGTGCACAGCAGTATTTACAGTGACCAGTAATATTAACAGTACTCCAGTGACCAGTAATACAGTGCTCAGCAGTACTCACAGTGACCAGTAATACTCAATATGCCCCAGCAGTACTTACAGTTCCCAGCAATACTCGCAGTGCCCAGTAATACTCGGTGCCCAGCAATACTCACAGTGCTCAGTAATATAGTGCCCAGCAATACGAAGTGCCCAGCTCTCACAACTCGAAGTGCACCAGCGGTTCTCAGTGCCTCAGCTGTCATCCTCTGTCATTCCACTCCATCTCCAGCTCAAATAATTGCTTCTTCTCGTGACCGCGTACCAGACTTGTGAGCTGGCTGCAGCTCGCAACTGGCCAGAGAGCCGGTACTTTGAGACCACTGGCATAGTGCCTTCTCTGTATTCTTTGCAATTCTACAACATCTGATTTGTATATTCAAGATCTGCGCTTACTTTGCCTCTTTTAATAAAAAAAAAGTATCTTGCTCACACTAGAAACTATAGATTAGGGGGCTCAAACTCAATTTCTCGGGGGCCACTGGACAAATCTTTTAGTCCCGTGGTGGCCGCTAGTGTTAATGTATGCACGTTACAAGCGGCAACTGTCACCCATTCAAGTTAATGATCGGGTCACAGCTGCTGCATGTAAACGCCTGCACACCGCATGTAATCATATAGGAAAGGATTACATGCAGTTAGGAATCAATCACTCTCCCTGGATACACAATTGTGTATACAGGGATAGTGATTGTTTTTGTAACTGCATGTAATGATATCCCATATGATTACATGCGGTATGCAGGCGTTTACATGCAGCAGCTGTCACCCGCTTATTAACTTAATTGGGTGACAGTTGCTGCATGTAAATGCCAGATTAGGGATTCCTGTGCAGTTTGTGACACAGGAATCCCTAATCGCACCTGAAATATAGGTGTGAATGGGGCCTAATATACATATATACACACACAAAGGAGCTCAGAACTGTCGGAGCTCTGGCCGGAGCTGACAGGAGTAGCTCTGTGGTCTGCATCCAACACAGATGCAGACCGTGTAGCTGCTCCCGCAAGCCAGGCACGCGGTCCGTGTCTGTGTACCTGACTTGGATGCGGGCCACATAGTATTGGCCCGCAGGTCGGTACTTTTAGACCCCTGCTATAGATTAACATTGCTTGCCATTTATTAAATTTTTCATCTATAAGGACACTCGGATACTTCCATGCCACTGATTTTTCCATAGATTATTAAAAGTTCAGGCACTCTACAATTCAGTGTTTAATGTTTATAAACCGAAAACTTTCTACTACAAATTGATTTGATTTTTTTTTATGCATCATTTCATTTATCGTGTGAGGGAGGGCTGTGGAAGACCATGAAGTACGCGGACCAGAGCCTAGCAAACACTAGGCCCTCTTTTATTGTTAAAAAAATAATAATAATTTGATCTTTATTTTCCATTTTGTATTTCCAGAAATTCGGATCAGACAGCAGGATCTCTTTCGAAAGCTAAGATACTCAAGAAAAACTGACCACAAAATCCATGATATAGAAATGAAGGCTTTTGCTACAGAAAGAGAGAATTTAGAGAGTCTTTTGAATGAAGTTATTATACTCCAAGATGTTTTTCAGGTAACTTAAAAAAAAAAAAAGAGCTGATATTAACTGGCAACCCTGTATCAATGTTTTTCAGGTTCAAGTAGGTCTTTCTTGCTTAACCCTTTCGCTGCCACCGACGTAATTCATACGGAGGAACAAAAGTGTTCCCGGCTGGCCAGCTCAGTATGCCATACGTCGGTGGCATTTGCAGTTTTGCTATAAATTCATGGTCGCTTTAGCGACCATAAGCTTATAGCAGAACTGTTCAGCAGCCTGTCCCCTTAAAAATAATAGCTGTCATCAGCGGCTCACAAGCCGCTGATGACTGCTATTAACAAAAATACCAGGT